AAAAGAAAAAGAAGGTGACAGTGGGAGAAAAGTGCATGGGTTGCTTTTTAAGCAGTTCCTTCTTTTGTTTTTGTAGATAACAAGAACAGGGATTTCTGATAAACTCCGTAGGACAGTGAGACAGAGAGATTATTTGCTCTTTTACCTTTTTCCTGTATCTTTTAAGACAAGTAAAGCTTTACAGGCTCTTACTAGAAATACAAAGGCAGCTGAACAAGCTGTATTATACAGCAACACACCTGAACTACAAACAAGAAACCATGTTCTCAGTCAGGTTTAATATCAGGTTTCAGAATACTGCCTAACAATACAGCAAACGCAATAGTCTGTGGTTTAGGTCACAATACCATGGCAGGTGGCTGCAGACGCATACGAGTACATACAGGTTTAATAGAAATGGTTAGTAATTTTTGGCATAGCATCAGACTACTTCCAAACCACCAGACCATCTGTGTACCACTGTGTTTGAGTCTCTGTTCTCTCACTGGTTTCCCAAGTTCACTTTGGGCAGCTGAAAAGATCTCAGTCCATGTTTCCTGAAAAATTCTGTGAACAGCAGCTTTCAAGTGTTAAAAAAGGCTGAGATTCAGTTTAGTCGGTTAGCCTACAGCAGACCACAGAGGAGGGTCCTTGGAGAGGAAGAGCAATTTCTCAGCACTAGGTTAAGAGAAAAATCTGTTGGCACAAACACAGGCACTTTAAATGTATCATTCCTATACAAAAGAAGGAGAAATCTACGGAAATTAGCCTTTATCAAAACTTTTTTGATTTTGTTTTTATTGAAAAGCAGATCATAATGTAGATTGATCTAATGGCCCACGTTAAGTGATAGTTTCTTGCTGTAGCAGCAGCTCAGATGCTTCTGTAAATGGAGCATATGATCTGTATTACTTCAAAGGGATACTGACCATACCAACAGTGGATCCATGAATTCCCTAGTTGCCTTCTATAGCCAAAAAAACCCATACATGGAATATCTCCTGTTGAATGAAGACGGAAAACAAAACCTGCTGGAATTAAGATTAGAACAAAGAAGGGAGAACAAAGGAAGTGTTTGAGAATACTAACTTTCCTGAAGCAGAGAACTCTAGTTTGTTTGAGGGGGTTTTTTTGCAGCTGTACTTGAATAAGCACCCCAAGAGAAGCAATGTGCTATTCACAACCAGAGCCAATGATGACAGCAAAGGAAGTGAAGCTTCAGTGAAAGCAAAGGAAGTATTCTGTTAAAGCCACACCAAGACACTAAAATGATTGTAAACTACTTGTCAACACAGTCCCACTGTCAAGCAAGTGAGGTTTTCTCATAGTATAGAAACTCTCCATTTGTAAGAAGTGATTTTAAATTGTGACACCAAGTATTTACACTAGGTGTTCACCAATTATTAAAAAAAACCCCACCAAAACCAAACCACAACCAAAGAAACCCCAAACAACAAAATAAACACCCCCCCCATTCCACCTACAGTCCAATCAGTAGTGCAAAAACTGTAACTTGTGGAGATTTTCTGATTAGCCCTTTTCCTTTAAGGTGACATCATAACACCTCCTGAGTTCACACTCCAGCATATAAAACCAGGCAAAAAGAGCTGCAGGGCTGTGAAAATATGAACAAGAGGAGTGCCTTTCAGTATCAGCCACTGCTCCTCACCCTTCCCAGGTCACTAGCGCAGTAGCTGTGTAACCTTTTGGGTAAGTCTGCAGCAGCTGGCTAATCATGGCAGGAAGTGGGTTTCAATCACTACCACCCTATAGGCAAAGCCTGGCTTTTGGTGACAGGCAGAGGAAAATGAGTTCAGTAGCTGCTCAAGAAAGGAGTGGAATAGAATAACTCTCTCTGTACAGATTAGGATGGGCAGACATTGCTACAGCTAGAAGGAAAAGACACCTAAGGACCCCAGGCTTCTGCTGACAAAGCTATGGCTGGGTGCTGTTGCCAGTGGGAGGCAGAAGGCTGCCCAGATGCAGAGAAGGAAGACAGGACCCAGAAATAGTTTGATGGTTGGACAACTCTAAGCACATTCCATGACCAACATACTTGTCAGATATCTTTAGATGACCATCGGAAGAGCTACGTACAGTAGAAAGGACAACACTAAAGATGACTCAATGTCATCACAGAAAGAAGCAACTCGTTCTAAAGGCCAAAAGAACGTCCCTAGCTAGAGGTGCCTTGTAAACTAGAATCAGGAACATAAGTTTAGCATGATTTCTAGAATGATGCCTAGAAATCATCCTGCCTCACAACAGGATGTGCAGCCAAGGAAACACTAGTTGCAGGCATGCAGTAACTGTATTTCATAGCAGACACAGTGGTGTAGAATAATGCAAAAGTGCATTGTTCATGATTGGATTTTATTTGATCACAAGAGGAAAAGAGAAAGGAAACCACTGACTTTGAATATTCAATAATAGCTATAGGCATTCTGCAGATTTGTGTACTACAGGAAGAGGTGCAAGACCATCACCATAGTAATTCTCTTTTTTGGACTCAGTGGACTGCGGAATTTAAGTACAGCAAGGATGGCAGGACTACTGCCTCCTAAGAAAGAGCGGTCCAGGGCCCAGAGCACCAAGTAGAAAGAGCTGACTGTTTTGATGACCAGGCTTTGAAATCGTTACAAAAGCTAAGCCACTAAGTAGCCATGGAGTTTGATGCTGAAGACAGTCATTCCCAGGTACTATTTTGGCCAAGCAGTACCACTGTCATGACTTGTTCTATACGACAGCCATGTAACTTTTTCAAATGTCAAACATCAAATGTGGATCACTGTGCATTGTTCAAAGAGACAGTTGTTAAGACCTATAGCGTGCTTCAATTCTACTACTTTTCTGAATCAACTGCTCATATGTATAAATTAATAGCATAAGATACAGCTGCATCTTCTGTGACTTAATTATTATATATTATATATATTAATTATATATATATCTTATGAAAAGGTCACCAGAGTAAGTGTACTTTGCCATATGTAAGTGCTATATTATCTTCCATCTTTTTCTTTGATTTGCTGACTATGTATATTGTGTGTCTTAATAGCTTTTCCCCAAACACTTCATTATTTGAATTCTCTCCAATAGTCCCATTTTCTTTCTGAATTAAGATGATCGGTTTATCCATATACAATAATCAAGTGCTGTATGATGGGAAAATCACTTTGTTCAGCTTAATAGCTTTCTTTCTGTACAGTGAAGCTATGTAACAGAAGTCCACTTCAAGGGAACTACACCAGCCCCTTTTCTAAATCCTTGCTTAATGAGATGTAGTCCCTGTGGTGACTACCTTGGTCTATGAGTACAAAGGAGCTAACACGATGCTGCCTTGTATCATATGAAATGTCAGGGTTACGAGTCAAGCAATTTCATCCTGCTTAATTGCACTGCAGAATAGCATATAGAAATGTGTGTTTTATAAAGAAAGCAGGTGATGCAGTAGCAAGTCCTACCCAGTTAAATTATTTGAAGGGTCACCTAGATCTTCAGTTGTATCCCTTTCTCATTATTTTATATATACAAAATATAGAACATAAATAACACTCCTGTTTTCACAGTCTTGACAAACCAAAATGTTGGTAATAGTGTTAACAGTATTTTTAGGGATGGGAAAAAAATTGAAATAGCTTAGAGATTCACAGTGTGAAGCCGAAAGGGATGTACAAGTGTAACAAGAAAGAAAGGGAGGAAAAAAAATTGAATACTAAACAAATAAGAAAATGCCATTTGGTCTTACTAGGCTCTCCCATACCAGCCACTATTAATGAAAAGGTGTGTCATCTTTCAGTCACTTCAAGCTCCACCAAAATATTATAACATCAAAGACATTGCTTTGTACCTGGTCACAAGGTTGCAGAAGGCAAGTTTTTTGCTAATTAAATAAGACTTGATTAACATAAAGAAAAAAAATCAGAAGGACTAGAAAAGAAAGAAGGAGAAACAAAAGCACAAAGGGGCAAAAGTAGTGAAATCTTAGTATTCTGAGTAACAGCTGGGACTAAAGCAGAGTTAGTAAAGATGGTAAAATCACCTCAGTCTTTGCTACCTTAGCTTAGTCTGAGAACTCTGGGATTTCAGTGCATCATGATTGAACCCTGAAGTGTGGTGACCCACACTGGTGTTCACTTTGGAGGTAAATGCTGCACATCTTTTTACTCAATTGACAAATTCCAAAGGAGATGAAGAGAGGGGAAGCCCTCCTCTTCTACTATTTAGGCTTAGTTTCAAGCCACTGGGTCCACTGCAATAATTTTCCTGTCAAACACTCCTATTACTCATCAAATACAATCTCAGTATGTTCTTTAAACCTGCAGGAGTTTTTGACCGAATTGATTCTATTTTTATCTTTTTCCTGACATTTACAAATAATTTTATATAACAGACTGAGAGTTGCCATCTGTTACCTGAAACTACTTTTAGGTCTCTATACAACACATCCTGCAGATGTAGCCTAGGTTTTTTGCTAGTATATATGGTACTTATGGTTGGCAGTACTAAATATGTTGGACTGTGACTAAGGAAACAATTTGGATTGCTTTGCAACAGTAAATGCTCCATGTGTACTGTCCCATCAATCACTGTGTCACCTGTAGCTATGACTATGGATGGTATTCTCCCTTCCTGAGCATTGATAACTGGAATGAACAATACTGGCATCCATATACAGAACTGCAAATTTTAGCCTTGAGTAAGTTCTGCCAGAGTGCCAGAGTACACAGGCCTTAGGAAACAGCCCTGTACACAGCTCAGTTCCAGTGGTTCTGCTGATTGTTGATGGTGGGCCCTGCTGCTCCACAGCTGCCTGCAGTCCCTCCTGCCACACAAGTCAACGGAGGGTGTGGAGGGTACCACAAAGACCTCAGAATTACCATAAAGGATTTTCTGGGCAAATGCCAAGTCTATCCTTGGCACGAGCTGACCACAGCCATCTGGGCAGGATTACACATGATCATCATAACCAGCTGAGACACCTGCATTAGGGCTTCCTGAAACAGAGATTCTAATGGCACCTGAACTGTTTGTGCACTGCCTCCAGATTCAACTTCAGCTAGCTGTGGCTCATGTTGTGGCTGCTGGAGGTTGTTAGGAGCCATGAGTTATCCTAAGCATTCCACCATCACATTGTTACATCAGCAGGGCCATAGGTACTACAAGGCTGGGAAGGTGAGGGGAGAACATACTGAATAAATATTTAAACACCTCTGCTCCCACTAGATTGATAATTTTATTTGTGTTTTGATTAACATCACTACTGTTTATCTATTTTCTTTAAGCCTTGAACTTCTTGCCTGATTAGACCACTTTTAACTATTCAACTATTAAAAAAGGATTGGTAAACCTAAGCACTTGTTTCCTCTGCCATTGTTCCCTATTTTCTTTTCTACTCTATCCTATAACCACGTACTAATGTAGCAAAGGCAGCAGCTGGGTACAGGATGCATGACAGACCATGTACAACATCAGGGACTAACATGATGACAAAGCAATCTTTCAGGTGCTGGAAAGAAGAAAGACATTCATGAAGCTGGGGAATAGGGAAAAGTTAGGCCACAAGAGAGGGAAGAAAACCTGAGAGACTCGGAAAATAATGGCATCTTAGCTGGCAGACTGGCACACCTGTAAACATTTAAAGTGTATAGCAGTGCTAGCTCTCACTTTATACCAGTTTAGACCTACCTTCCTCCAGGCGTTCTAGCCAAATTTACATGAGGTTATACAAAAGTCACGTACTGAATTCCTTGCTGACAGAAGCCTTTCTTTGGTCCATATTCAGGTTTTGCAGCATGAAAGGCCACCATGATACTGATGGCACCAGCAATGAACGTAGCTAAAATGATTGTTGTTACACCACTACACTGTATCTCTACACTGCCAAATATCAGCATCTGACTGAAATCACCGTGTAAATCAGATAGGGTTACATGACACAAGATAAATACGACAAGATAAATAGGATAAAAAGGACTGTGACAATGCATGTGTACATCCTGACAGCACTTGCAATTATCATCTTGGGAAAGAAAGCCTCTGAAACTACAGATATTGCATGTTCAGTACAGCTCATTGCATATGTAGATACTGGCCACTAATAAGGTAAGCAGGTAGGTAAGGAAGTGATTTATCTTCTACTTAGCCTGAGAACTGTAGAGAAAACATCATGCAGTAAGTTTTTGCATCATCATGATACAAACTGCCCAGAAACATGGATTCAGATATCAGACATATCCATTCTAAAGTAACGGTCCACCAGGTGACCAGAATGAGATGCAGCAATCCTGATTTGGAAGGGACCCACCAGGATCATCAGACCACTGCCTGATGAATCCCATGGTACTGTACAAAACCACAATTCATCTCGGGTATAACTTTCCTGGACAAGAGTGATATAGCTTTCACTTACACCTACCTAAGAAAAAAGGTCTCACTTAATACTTCAAATACTGAAATATAATTCACTATCATAAGCAAAGATTTTAATAATTAAAACATACTATTTTTAGGTTTATTTTAATCTTGCAGAAGCTTCCTTCTGGAAGCCCCTCAACTGGACCAACCTCCCCTTTAAGAGCATGGTGCAGAAACTCCAGGAGGGAACAAGATCCTTTTTAGACTGAAAACCAAGCTTCAGCCTGAAACACAAGGCCTCAGCAAAAAACACACATACAAACCACACTGATTTTTACCAGATAAACCAGAAACCAGAGTTGAAAAAAAAAGCTAATTTCAAAGGAGCTGAAAATCTGTTGCCATATTTTATTTGCCTCCATATCTACTCTTTTTCTTTGCAGGTGGCACACGAAAGATGCTCCTGCCTTTCTGGTCAAAAGCCTCAGCAACAAAGTAATGTTCCTTCTAGGAACATGTGCCACAGGTCACTGGGTTATAATTTGAACAGTCCCTCCTAATGTGGTACTTCCAAAGCTAACTATCAGCAGAAGTATCCCCTCTTCTCTTCCAATACATCCTCCACACAGAAGGTAGGCTCTTGCCTCATTCAATGCCAACATTTTCATACCAATTCCTTCATCTCATTTTTGTGGGACAAGGCTGGATAAATATTAAGCAAAATCCTTGCTTCTTGCAAAGGATGAAACAGAGGATAGACAAAGCACCCTTCAAAATGGGATGAGGAATACTCCAAGTTCTCTTCAGGTGAAAGGGGGAATTGGGAAACATCACACTACTTTAACAATGAGATGTTTAAACCTATTTTCATGGAAGTGAGAAGTACATAATTTTTTTAAAAAACATCAACCTTCTTTCAAGTGGCCGAAAACAGTTCCTGGCTTGAAAAGCCAGTGTGGAGAGGGTGGAAAACAGTAATAAGGTAATTAGGGACCAGGAAGGGATCTGATAACCAGGCATCATGGATGCTATTTTCTTAGGTGGCCTAGAACAAGAGACTTCCAGCATTTACGAAAGAAGGTGCAAGACTGGATTTTTTTTCCATTTGTGTTCTGATGCACTGGCATCACTAAGTTCCGGATGTAGCTACTGTCACGCACCAAGATACTTCTTTGTTGCAGCCACTGCAAAACTTTACCAGAAGCCTAAAACAGGCAGGCAAACTGAGAAGATACAAGCAGTTTTGCTTGGATTGCAGGGTATACAAACTAATAAGGCAAGAACGAGAACTTCAAGTACAAGGAAAATAAAAGACAACAGAAATAAGCAGACTTATGAAGAGAAACTGGAAAGCCAGGTAAGAGAGCCTTTTCTGCTGGTAAAGTCTTGACCAGGGAGAAGAAACAGAGTTCACTTCCAGTCTTCAGATTTGCTTCCCAGAGCAAACACAGCAGCTTTCACTGTGATGTAGCACTTTCCACGTCTGAGGAAACACTCCTGACCCTTCCATTAAATGCAAGCCTTTCACTTCAGAGATTCCACTAAATCCCCAGTAAAGTAACTTTTTCTGTTGTATTTCTCCTTGCATCTAACACCTTCAGTGGCAGGACACATGTTCATTTTGGACAGAAGTTCACAAAGCCTGTACATTAATGTAGCTGCAAGACTAAAAGACTCTTAGCTAAAAACTCAGTTTTTCAGCTAAAAAGACTGACTACTTTCCTAAAAAAAAATTATAAATTTGTATAAATTATAATCCAAATATATGTTAGAATGCTAATATTCAAGACATCTTAGAGAACTGGAATCTGGATATTTAAGACCAGTTTCCCAAATATTCATACTTCTGTTTTGAATAGCACTTCTATTTCTGCTATAGAATCTCTCTAGAGGCATAGACCATGTACATATATACATACGAGATATAAAACCTCCTCCAGAAGCAATGTTCTAGAACTAATTTTTATAATTTCATTGAGCAACACTTAAGCACAGGATAGTGGAAGATGTAAGTAAAGTATTTAAAGAATGTGGTCCACTTTCATTTGTAATTACTAGAGTAAACATTTCCTTATGTTAACTTAGTACTCATTCTTACAGAGAAAATATCAAATGAAAAGCTGCAGACATGACTTATTTAATGCATTGATGCATTTTAACTGTTTATGTATTTACAGATGTAATTCTCTAGAAACTGGTATTTCCTCTTACTGTCTCAAGCTGCTTCCCAGTGTAAAGCGTGAGGTCTCAGTCATTATTATGTGCATGGTTCGAGACCTACCAAAGTAGAAGACCCAAGCCAGCTCCCAGTGAAGACAAGTTCTCAAATGTCAATTCTGCTAGCACGGGAACACAGCACTCTCCTTGGTGACAGAGAGGGCAACTGCACCCTGCAGGGAAGCAACTATCTTGAATCTAAGATTTTAGGTTGATGCATGCCAGTATCTTTAGAAGCAGCATTGACAGACAGTAGCTGGAGGGGTGAGCAGCTGGTGACTGTTCTTCACAGAATAGGTAAGACAATAGTGCAAAAAGACATCAAACCAGGGAATAAGAGCATCTAAAGCTTAATCGACTATGCTGTGAATCTCAATGCATTTTTATTATTCCGTGAGTCAAAAGAAGTGCTCAGAAAAGCAACAGAGGAACATTTCTTGCAGCACTTTCACCCAGCACAGCAAACAATACACAATAGGGATACTATAAACTAAGTAACTTCACAGAGAAATTCCATCAACTCAGCCATGTGCCTGTTTTAGTGTTTCTACACAAATTTACACAAGAAGTTGTGTGAAAACCTCTGAAGAATAGAGGGGAAAAAACTTCAGCATGAGACAATGCCATAGACAACAATGTGCCAGCAGTACCGCTTTTTTAATTGGCATGATGCAATTTTTTTCCCGACTAATTAATCACATCACAATAAAGAATCATTGAATTTGCAAGATAGGGGCTACCCTTGCCATTTTCCGTGTTCACAGATTCAGAAATACCAGCTTTGACTTTTACAACCTCACTAAGATAAAGCTCTCCATTCCACTGAAGAATTAAATCTTTTTGCCTCAAAGCCTGATGTTGCAACCTTCTTCATATAAGTATGCTAAGGAAATCGGACTTAAACAGTAAAGACTGATGCTTGACTGGACCAACATCTGTATTCTGAATCCAAGACTGAGTAGTGCTCTGAACCAAGAAATGCATGGATAGCCCCAGAGCAGAGCTAAGCATCTTGTATGCAAGTCCCCAAGAAGTAATTCACTTCTACATACCTAAAACCTACTAAGCAATACATAATCAAGACCTATGTGGACATGAGGACAAACCACCTCACGCATTACACATCATCTCACCAGTAGTCCCCCAACTGCATTATTTCAGTAGCACCACCTTACTTACTTTAAGTACAGGTTCTTAACATTCTCCTGAACTCTGAAGTCACCATCCAGAGCACAAAGAACTAACTGTTCAGGTGGCAAGTGAAATTTACAGGAGATAATTTACACAGAAAATAAAGCAACTAAGTGCTTAATGGCAGTGTACTTGAACACATTGTCTCTCATTAATTCTCTCCCTCAAACCCAAAAAGCTACAAAGGGAGCCAAGATCTAGTCCTACCAAGTTGCCTAAGCATAAGGCAAAGCAACAGGGAGGACAATTTCACGCAACCGACCTACAGGCACTTAGCTTAGCTGAAGGACCTTCACCTCCTTTAAAATCAACATACAGAGACAAGCTCCTTGAAAGGCCAATTCAGATCAAATAATATTAAGGTACTTAAAAGTGTGATTTGTATCAGCAATATATCTCTGCCTTCTCCACTGAAGAGAGAGGGACCGGTG